ACGTTGGACGCTGCCTGTTCAAAGGGCTTTAAGCTGCTTGAAGACATAACAGCTTTTATGAAAAGGATAGCCTGATAAAATGGTGATGCACTTTCATAAGCGGACGGTAAAGCAAACAAAGAATGCAATGTGTTATGTCCGGAGAAGTACAATTAGCGCTGAAAAACTGAGGGAAAGCGCATCCTGAAAGTTGCCATTGTCCTCTTCTGTGTACTTATGCAAGAGCCAGAGCCATTTAAAACACAATAACTAGGATGAGTCACTAATTACAACAACTAAAGAGACAAAAGCTGAGCAGTTTTTAATCTCACAGCTTCTGCATGCCATCCCTGGCTGCCAAGGGCACCCAGCTGATCATTAAATAATGTCAACTAAAGTTATTGTGCTTCACAGAGCAATAGCTGGATTGTTTTTTTAGTTTAGGAAAATGGTGTCACTGAATGGGTGGTTGATGGGTCATTATTTTGAAAGCACAAAGATCCGTGGGCTGTCCTTCAGCAGAAGAAAAGCAAGATTATTTACAATGTGAAAACATGTAAAGTGAGAAAAAATAAGCCGGCTGAAGGAGAACAGGGAGCGAGAACAGAAGACGGCATTTCAAGGGTTGAGGAGGAAGCTAGCATACGCTTAATGAGGCATAAATCAGCTTGATATGAATCCTCTCAGCAGCGCTATTAGAGCAAAGTGTTTTGAACCTCATTAATTTACAAAAAGGAGCAGCTATATGCTAAGTTTACTGTAGAGTCAGATCTTCTCTGAGCCACCGTCGTTATGGTCCTCAGATAACCGTCGCACATCTTAACCCAATGCAGATGTTATCCTCAGATCAGTGGTCAGCTTCACATCGCAATTACAAATACTTTCCAAATGTCTCTCCATCTCAATGCTAATCATTCCTTTGTCATATAAAATAGAAACATCCAAGAAGGCATGCAGAAGGACTTTGTGAAAATCAGTGAGTGTGAATGAATTGCTTCAAATGCATAATTAAAATCTTTCAGTTTTATCTTCAGATCATTCATCTTTTGCTTTGCCTGTCTTTTTTTTTAACTAAACTCTAATGCACAATTTGAACATTTAGTAAAACTGGCAGTTTTCATGTGTGATCTCAAACTTTAAGCAGTGTTAAGAGCAGTGCAGCTCTTGCTGGGAGAAACAGAAAAAAATTAAACAAAACCCCCATCACCACTGTGTAAATACTGTGTTGGGAGCTAAATTGTGCAGTAAGATTTTTAGTGTCTTTTGGACAGCTTCTTGTTTTAGTGCCTCCTACTGTGCAACCTAAGCTAATCTTTGTAAATGTTGTTTGACCAACAATCTATCAGAAAAAGGACAGCTTAGACTGGCAGGACTCTCCACTGACACCTGTGAGAACATATTATAAATGTAACAGTGCACTGACTTTTGAAGTTAAGCAGTTCACAAAAACTACAGAAATTCATACCATTAAAAACGTTTGCACACCATCAAGTCTGCTTTTGGATAAAATTCATTTTATTCATACCTGCTGAGCAGAGAAAAAATATGAATATTTATGGAAGACAGAGAAATGCAATTTTATATTTTGTGGATTCGTTCTAAAGCAGAAGGTGTTTTTATTATTTATGAACCCAAGCATTCATACATAATATTGTTTAAAACAAAGATAAGTAAGGAATAGCACAATACTTTCGCAGGAAAACTGCGGTAACTCGATAATTTTATTGAAATATTCCAGTATAAACTTTAATCGGAGAACTGGATGGTATTCAGGACCGGCCATATGTTGCAGCGTGTCAAATGTCAAAAGATAAATCAAAACAAGCGTCCAGGATATCTGAGCCCATTAAGACAAAAGGCTGTTTGTTTATTTTTTGTTTTGAACCACATGCCTGCTCTAGCCAGTCATGCTGCCTCATACTTCCATCCAGTTAAATAAATGACACACATGATAAAAACGATACTTATTCCTTTGCTGATTAAATTTTTCAATGTCACACACCTGTCTGAGATTCATGTCATGTTACAGCTTTCAAGGAGATGTAGCAGACCAGGCACAAATAAAACTATCATATGAGGGACAAATTACTTTGCTGCTTTCAAACAACGTTTCTCGTTTGTCACGATTTAAATTTTCACGTTTCACCTAGCTTAAACTACTGAGTTCGCCCCTCTGCGGCAGTGTTTCTGCTTCTGCAGTGTTAGCATTCAGAACGTAACACTGCTGACCTCAAGCCCTCTGAATGCTAAAACATCAGAGACAGGGACCTTTTTCTGGAGTGGATTTGATATAAACCTACATTAAAGAAAAAGAAGCCTTTTCTCTCCTTATGGACAAGCACTCAAGTCGTCATCTGAGCCTGTAGAAAATGCAGGGCTGCCGCTTTGATATGTTTGGCTGCTTCATCACAGACTAACGGCCAACTGTACATCACTTCGCTGTAAGGCAGTTTTTTAAAGACATGTCATATAAAAGGAACACACTGGTAAGAAGAAGGCATAAATTAAATTTTTCCTTAAATTATTTTGTTTAATTTTACTCAAAGTTAAGCTCGTTCGGATTGAAGGTTATAACTAAATCTCAAAAAGTGAATTATGGGGTCTGCTGGTTCATGACATTTTCACATCAAGACTTCTGCCAGGGTGATCGTTAATTTCATAAGCTATTCATTCGCATATAAAACAGACAATTAAGCAACAATAAAAATGTGAACGATTTAGATAATGATCAAACTTACTGAATTAGAAAAAAAAAAGATTCTTGACCAACACTGAATAATTTGCGATCAGTGACGAATTGAGCTTTGAAAATATATTCACCAAATGTTTTACTTGGAAAAGCTATTAAAAACAGCTTTTGACAATTGAGTCTTGTCAAAATAAAAGGAAAAGTAATAGTTATTTGTTTATTTAAAGTCTCAGACAGAGATCCCAACACTAGAGGGGTGGCTTAATGTTTACATCCGGTCAGCACAGCCTGACCGGATGTAAACCAATTCAACTAATGAGTCTGGGCATAAACAGAATATCTGCTTCCTCCACTCTTTTCCACCAATACTTAGATTTTAGTGCAAACAATCTTCTCAATTTCCCACACACATTCAAACTTACTGAACTCAAATTTTGTCAGCTGTGTTTCTGAAAAACTGATGCAGATTTATAGTCTCGGCTTTCTGACATTAGCTGTCAACAAGTGTTGATAAATCAACACTTGTTGATGCTATTCCTCATCTGCATCAAGCTGTGACTTGCTGTGCATTGAGAGATGGTTTCAGTCACACAATATTTGTTGTAACATGTGTGTTTATGTTGCTTTTCTATCACGTTGTACCCACCTGCCAAAACTGTCCTCAAAACTGCAGCACGGTGGATATTTCTGTACTTATACAAGCACATCAGCAGTTTCTGAAACACTGAGGTCCCGCTGGCCTGCATCAACAATCACGCTATGTTCAGACTCCCTCTAGTCCTTTTTCCTCTCCATCACCGTCAAGCTGTAACAAATGCTCTTTACAGCCATCTGGATATTTAAATGTAGTAAGTTGCTCTCATGTGATCTGCAGATCTGCCATTAGTGTTAATAAGCTGTTAAACAGGCTTACTTAATAAAGTGGCTGGTAAATGTAATTGAATAGCAATTGGACCTATTTGACTAGTTAGGTGCCTCAAAACTGAATCTGCTGTGAATTGATGCTGTATCAATTATTCTTTTATCCAAGAAGCAGAGCTCAGTCGACGGATGGAAAACACAACATACTATAAATGGGTTGGTATATATCAGGGCAAAAGGCAGCAGAGCTGTGAGAAACACAGGCTTGATTATCAAAAGATTATTACCCAGAGGAGATCATCCCACTAAGATCACGCCAAAGTTTCCGAAAAACCAAGACAATTTCAAAGAAGCCCAAATGAAGAACTCTGACAAAATGTCCTAATAGGTTTACAACTAGAATAGATAATGTGAACAGAGCTGCTAAGACTGAAATATTTTGGTTTAGAAAAAAATGTTCATTCAACCATGCAAACAAAACCACTACTTTACCAATAAGCATTCATAAAAAAAAAATCACAGTCAACAAGAAAGAGAACAGTTAAAAATCATTCATTTATCCAGTGAGTCTAGTTAACTCTTGTATTCTTAAATAAAGTGTTAGCAGCAGCAGCACCAGAAGTACAAGCAGCAAAAAACATATTTTTAAATAATTTATTTTAAAGGAGTGGCATTATGTATATTCCAGAATTGTGCTGCTTCATAGCGCAATCAAGTGTAACCTACAGAAAATAGAAAAACGCTCCATACATAAACATAAGAAATGTGACGCTGCAATTTGGCGTCTTGAAATTCACCCACTTTTATGTGCAGGTTGTGTACAAAGGAGCCAGAAGTCTAAAACAACATCTCAATGTGAAACATGTAGCGAGCACAGACCTCTCCAACGGTCGTGTCAACGTCCACATGCCTCATTTCTAAGAAAGAATTTTTTTAAAAAGAAGCTACCTCAGTTATCAGGGGTTTCTAAAACGCTTGAAAATTGAATGGGTGTAAAAGCACATTGCAACAATCTGATGGTTGAATAACCAAATAGCAGCAAAAATGGTTTTGAAGTGAAAATGTTGCTTATTTTGCTGATACATAGTTTCCCAGTAAAATGTGATTAATTGAAATCATCTATTGCAGACTACTATTAACTCGATTAAAAACTTAAGTCCCACCACTTATTTATTTATTTGGTGCTAAAATGCTCTTCAATGACTGGAGCCATGGTGGCCGCTACAGCAAGTCTCTAATATGCTGCCCAACAAAATGAGGTAGAAAATCAACCATTTAACTCTGAAATAATGAATCCATGCCATCAGTCCTCTATATGAGCTCTTCCTAATGAAGCATTAATTCAAAGTAGAGTACCAATTAAAGTTTTCTGTTGTAATGCATTACATGAGTGCAGCGTTAGATTATTGATGTGCTCCTTTAGGTGTGAAATTTGTATTATAATTGCCAACATGTCCATGCATTTCCTTACCAGGGAGGTGAAGATGTAAGTGTAGTAGACAGACAACATCCCCAACTCTGATGCCTGCAGGGAAAAAGACAAGAAGGGCATAGGGAGAGGAGTAAAAAGTGAGAAAAATTAACCATCTACAAAGACCGGAACAAAACTAAGGAGAGTCTTTGGCAGAAAAAAAACAAAAAACAAAAAAAACAGTGTGAAGTTCAAAGTCAGACACACAAAGGGGCGGAGAAGAACAAAACATAAGGCTCCGAGGGAAAAATAAGGAGGGAGGAAAACGGTTGAGAGGTCACTGACTCATGTAACTGGAGCTTCATCTGAGCATGCAGATCAAATCCACATCTTGATAAGCACTGACGCATCATCATCTAACAAAACCTCTCGATGGAGCAATTAATTTCTGAGCTCCATTGGTATGCTGCTCCACGCTGTCACACAGTCTGATTAAATCAAAGTCGGCGAGGAGCAGCTGAGAAGGGCAGGGTGAACTTTATGAAGATTATTTTCTTAAAACACATGATCTGAACAGAAATTCATTAAGATGGCGACTTTAGTTTAATCAGGCTAGGCAGACAGGTAATCTTAAATCCATAAATTTCAACTGCATTTGTAGGTACAAAGGGCTTAAATAAAAAATAAATAAATAAATAAATAAATAAAAAGCCTAATGCACGTCTCAGATGTGCCACATTTGAAGCTTAACCTTGAATATTTCCTTTTTTTAAAGCAGAATTTTCATGTTCAAAACTTGCATAATGAGCATCTCAAACATGAAAATGATTTGAGGATTTTGTGTCAGTGAAGAATTATTAATGTCTAAGAATGTTCCTGAATGTGTGCCGTTAACAAGACTCAGTTATGAATCAGGAATATTCAGATGAGGTGTAAGAAAAAGAAGTTTAGAAAATAAATTTCTAAGAAGTATAACGCTACTAAATATTACAGAAAAGCAGCAAATACATTGTTTGTGACAGAACTCCAAATAAACTCACCGTATCCTCAAACAGTGCGCACGGTCATTTTAAAACTACGTCCACTAATTACAGCTATATGACAATTATTGGTTGGCATTTACCCTTTAGCTTCACACACAAAAAAAGCAAAGCTGTAGGATGAAAAACAGTTTTCTTTCTGATGCAGAAAATTATATATAACAATGCGCGACACATTTTCTTTGGGTGACTACCACTTTTAACAACAAACAGCAGGGTTCACGTCATGATGTATGGTTACTGCACAGATTTCACAGAGAGCGCGGAACATAAACAAAACAATCACAGGATGAAAAATGAAACCCATTTGCTGCCTTTAAATAATGCTTCCTGCTTTTCATTTAGGACAAACCCTGAGGACCGTGTGAGACTGGCAGATTTGTAGTCATTCACTTTTTGACATGTTTGGCATCTCTGAGCTAAACCACAGATTTGACTTCAAAGCAATCTGCTGCAGGATTGCCTCTTAAAAATATCATATAAAGAGCAGAGAGAGTAGCGTATCCAGTCAAACTACTGTTACTATTTAGGACTTTTGTGATGGACCAACACAAAAGTACTGCATAATTATAAAGTTCACAGGCTATGAACATGCAGTTTTCAGGGATAATAATCTACTACTTCCCCCAAGTAAAAATCTCGTAAAACCAACAGACTTCAGGAGTCACCTGTTTAGAAATAGTTTACCTACATGCAATTTATTACAACATAACCAGCTCTAAAGGCCTTTGTTTATTCAGCTGAAACAACATCTGTGCTTTTATGTAGAGTCACATTGGTTGAGCCTGCCAGCTGTATCAATCAATCAATCAATCAATCAATCAA